GCTACGCTGCTTCCAGTTCTGAGCCAGCCTCGGACCAGACTGCCTTTCCCAAGCCAGTAAGTCACCACAGCCCGGATCCTGCCAGCTGGAAAGCGTCCACCCATGCCCGATAGTCCGATCCTAAACCTTCAGAATTGATCCTAACGAGAGTCAGTGCCAAGATTAGCCAGCGAGGCAGGGAAGGGGATCCTAGAGCTGCCTCTTTAAAACATGCTGGATTCAGCCTCAGAAGAGGAGATTCTCAAAGCAGTGCCAAAGGGCAAATTTTAAAGTAGCTTTAAATAAGACCTCCTAAGGCTCAGGAGCTTAAAGAACTTGAATAGCCCAGTTCCCTTTTTATTTTTTTTTATTTTTTAAAGGAGAGGTTGATTGCCAGACAGGTTTTCCCAAGAATCCACAAGCTCAACTAATCATGAGCACTTCAGCCCTATGAAATAATATTTCCCTTACACGGGCTACTATAAAAACAAGTTCTGCACAGTAGGCAAATTTAAAATAACTTTTAATTAACATTTAAGACACAGAAGTCTGATCATGCAAATTCATCTGCGTCTCCACTCTCCGCCTGATTGTTCCTGATTGAATACGATAAAAATAGACTTTGTATGAGTCAAGTGTAGGCATGGATTTCTTTAACTTCTCCTCCCCCCTGATTATGCATTCCCTTAGATAAAGTGGAAACCCTTGGATGGCTATTAACGGTATCATGGGTCAGACTGGAAAGGGCATCCTCCCTGATACGGGTTAAAGATTTCACTTGAATTAAAGGCATTCCTTCTGTGAGCAAAAAAGATGCCTCCACCTTGCATAAAATCTCACCTAAGACTATCCAGCATTGTTCTGTCTTGGCTGACTTTTAATCTCTGAAACATGGACACTGATTTCAGAGCACCTCCCCTGTATCTGAGGTGAGCACCCAGACAGAGGCTCGGCTACGGATCTATATTAATACAGAAAAAAATGCAACCCGCCTGCACACAAGAGATAAATATTTGAAGCGAGGCTGAGGAATTTCTACAGAATTAAGACATGTCAGAGGACATGACCCTGTTATGAGTAACAGGGACTCTGGATAACGGAGGGCACGCTGATACCAGTACCTTTATCTTGTAACAGTAATGGAGCCAGTTTCCCCAGTAAAACTTCCTACACAGCCTTTGTAACACAGTCCAGTTAAAAAGCCACTATTTTACACTATCTGCTGACTTGGCAGATGCAAAACCCAACCAACCCAGAGCCCTGGGGACGGCATTACCTCCCCTTGCCCCAAACTCCCACCCCTGCTCTGCAGCCGAGGGCAGCATCGCCTCTCTCCATTTATTAGCGCAAGTAACAATGTCACATGAAGAACACAACACAAAGAGCAGGCTGAAGTCCCTTAGCTAGCCAGAGGAGCGTTCCCTGGGTCATGGTCCTGCACTAAATCATTAAAACTGCCCCAAATAGCTGCCTGTGATGTTTATGGTGTTTCAGGGGATGCTCCACGCGCCTGGAGCAGATCTGATTGCTTCCCGCGCCGGGGCAGCCTCTCCCTAGACATTTTCTCACTGTTAGTTAGCTGCTCTCTGATGCTTCCCAGCACGGGCAGACAGCATAGCAGATGAAGAAAATATTCATCATCCCAAAAAAACAGAGCTGGGAAGGACTAGAGGAGGTCACCTCGTCCTCACTATGTCCTAGTGCTTTGCAGTTTGACGCACGTAGTCCTGGACTTTCAGGACTAGTCGTGACTCACTGACAGAGACCGGACTTGGAGTTAACAGTAGACTTCAGTTCAAAATTATTTCCTCTAGAGACGATGATTTCACCCCCTAAAATTTCAGCATCCTGTGTATGTGAAGGTGGGGCTGCTTATTCTCCTGCTACTGTGCAGGATCTTCCACTGGCCTTCAGGTGACAAAACCCACCGACCTGCTTGCACGCGAGCAAGCGCTCGTTCTGCAGCTTGATCAGAGTATCTCCAGCTTGGATACTTAAAGAACTTCCATGCTATTTTTTATTGCTCTTTTTCTAATTCTCATCCAGCACTACAGTTTGATCCCTGCCCACCTGGTATTTTGGAAAGCCAGTAACCACCACACCTCGGCAGGTCACCCACTCCTGGGGACGTGTCATTCGGGCCCCTGTACGCCTGCGCCTGAACATTCAGATGCTCCAAACTTTCAGATGCCTCTTCACCCCTCTGCATGTGCTCAGTTACGGGTGTGACCTGACTTTCTTGACCATCGCAGCGGCTGTTTTCTTCTCCCCAGTCCCGCCGTTAAATTTTTCCACTTTTCTGCTGCTGAATACATGAGCTGTGACAGCAGCATGGTGCAGTGTCCTCCTGAGCTACATTCTTATCCAGAAACGATTAAGTCTAAAACTGCCCTGGCTGAATGACAGGTAATTTAGGAGCGCTATAGGGTGGGCCTTTGTATGTGTCTATGCTGAATACAGTTGCTTGAGTTCCTTTCATCTGGCAGCCTTCCAAGAGCAAGCCACGATTTCAGTTTTTCAGCCTATTTTGTTTTTACAACAGCATCTCGATACAGAAGTATTTAGAATAAAAATATACCGTATCTCTCCAAACAGTCCCCAGTCTTAAGAGACCATGGGCTTTCTTACCCTCTGAGGAGCCATAGATTTCCTGGAAAGAGATTTCTGCTATTTTTTAGAGGTGTTAAAATGCAGATCAGACTATTTGAGGAGAGCAAGCAGATATATCTCAGTTTTAAAGAGGCTCATCAGCCTGATGCTGTTCTCTCTATCAGTCAGGGGAAAAAAAATATACTATACTTTCATGATCACGTGAAATCCATCCCAGCTATACCCCCGCGTATATCAAAGATATTTGTTTCTGTAGAAGCAGAAAATATTACCGTAGAACACCCTTGGTTTTCAAATCTTTACAAAGTCCCATGTGCTACAGTGTAAAGCCCTTTGGCCCTTGCAAAACTCTTTCTTCAGTGATTGAAATTAGAGAAATAATGGTATACATCAACCCCGCTTAGAGGAAGAGCAGTATTTTCTAATCCATTTAATACTATCCTATGGGTAATTCTCTTGAAGGCTTTTATTCCTTCTAGGTCTAACACACATTAGCTAGACATTAAATACTCAGAATTCACCTGAAAGCAAATTTCCATTATCTCACCTTCCACCAGATTCAGCTCTGGAAAGACATTAAAGCACAGCACATCCAGAGGGACGCTGCCTGACGTGCAGGTGTGACCAACCGCAACACAGCCCATCCCGCTACCCCAGAGCTCCCCTCCCAACCTGCAAGGAGCCAAGGACCAGGCAACTTGAGTCATCTGGAGCAACTGTGCTTAAGTGACACGGCCACTAGATGTCATTCCTTTTTCACTCAAACCTAGGTTAAAGCAGCATTTACCTGGAAGAACAAGGTCTCCCCCACCCCTGACACACACGAGCAGGCTGGGGCACACATTCTGCTGTGGTGAAAAGTCCCACGGCCCCAGAGACACAACGTCCTGGCACTGGTCGCTACGAAATTTTCCAAAGAGAACTAACCGATGCTGGCAGGAGGAAGGACCACGCAACCCAAGACTTGTATCAGAATTTTATGGCTCTTCACAACTGTATGGATCGTATGTAAGGAGCTATTTAACGACCAATTTACAATACAAACGGTGTATTCACCACGACAGGTACAAGCTCAGGTGCTGCTGCTAAACCCTCCCTGCTGCAGATTGAGTCCCAGATCTGAAAATGTGCTGGGTGCCCATTTTGCTCTGACTCAGGAGGAATTTAGTGCCCTCCTTTTTTCTGAGAATCTCGGTCTGAGTCGGAAAACAACTGGCACTGCTCAGGAGCTGAGGACACCACATCCACGAGCCCGGGTCCCAGTGATGATGATGGGAAGGAAGGACCAGGACCCCACAGCTGGCATGGAGTCGACCTGCATCCATAGGGGCATAAACTGGGCTCTGGATGACTTCCGAGTACTGCTTACGTATTTCTAGTTTGTAAGAGTATAACTAAGGAGAAACTTCGGTTCTAGATTAACAAGTATTTCCAGACTCTAAAGTGGAACGAAAATCCAGAATAATATAATATAAGCATTCCTCAAAGGCAGTTCAGCGACTTGACCACGATGCAGTTAGACTTTCTGTATTTTTCAAGATTTGCTATCAGTTTAAGATACATCATTTACTCCTCCTTGCTGACCCTCATATAAATAGAGAGAGTGGATGCACAATGATTTCCCATTTATTAGCATGCAGACCTCTGTACTGCTTGCGGTTTCTAGAATTACCATGCATATTTTGGATGCTTTATGCCTATGGATTATGAAGGCTGGAAAAGAACCAGACCACATCATTTCACTTTCCAACTCTTCATTTTTACCTCTACCAGCTCTAAAAATCTGTTGTTTGCAATATCCTTTCTTTTTTTTCACTTGTCCCCCAATAACAGCAACTCGGAACACATGAGAACAGAATAGAGATGCTGTACTAATAAAAAAAAGATCTTTAACTAATCGAAATCAGATATACTGAAGAATGTCTACGCATTTACTGCCAGCACACCCGAATACATCTGTTAGAGCTATCAGGGTAATACAAATTTACCAGATATCTGTTACCATTTAGAGTATTTACTGCTTACTCAAAATCGTATCCAAGCTACTGAACCCCAAATATCTCTTACTGCTCAGGATTTCAATCACATGTAATAATAACTCTGATATGTCTACAACCAATTGCTGGGAAACAACTGTATCCTCTTTGGTGCAATCAGACATAGTCGCTTTGCCACATTATTCCAGTCCTTTAGTACCTCAACAAAATCGGTTGTCAGACAGTTTTGCTGGTTCAAGAACCATTCTGATTTTCCTTTTTTCTTCCTTTTTCCCCTCCCTGAAAGGCTTGGTTCCATCTATCAAGTTCCTCCTATTTGCCAAACCAGCTAAGAGAGACGATGGATATAAACACCCATGAATTACAAACACGTTGTGTGCCCACACGTCGCCGTGCTGATGTATTGATACTTACAGTGCTGGTGGTGAATTCGGGTGGGTTGTCATTCACATCCGTCACCGTAATGATCGCTGTTGCCGTGTTTGAGAGACCATAGTTAAGATTTCCTTCCATATCTGTGGCTTGAACAATGACGATGTACTGCTGAACTTTCTGGAGGGGGAAAAAAAAAAAGAAAGAAGGAAGATGAGAAACAAAAACATACCCTGCAAAACGCCTTGGTTTATTTTCCATACACAAGTGCAACCTTTAGGCAGACTAACAAGTTAACTGGATTCAAAATGTTATTAAAAGAGACAGAAAAATTTCTATCATTCTTTCGAGGGGATTTTTGCATAGATGGGTGGGTACCACTGGTTTTACTGGAAAATAAAAATCTTATGGGCAAAGTTCCTTGGTTGAAAGACATTTCTGTTAATTTTTAAGCTTTGCTAGCAACACCAGTATTCTGACAGTAAAAATTTTGTTAATGTATTTGCATTGAAAACATCACTAAGTATTATACCCCCAAAACGGACAGCAACATTGCCTGGCAGCCCTCCAGCTCATCCTGCTCACACAGTTAGATGCCCACAAAGCATTTCTATACCTAAAATATTCTCCTTGTTTAAGTTCTTAACACAATCTTGGGAAATAAGGAGAACTTAAGTCCAGTACGAAAAAGAATATTCACTGCAATAAACAAAAATTCAGCAGACCTCATTTAAATTCCAAAGCACCAAAGAGTGAGCCTTACGGAGCCAGCCAGAGAAATCACCCATTAAAGTTCTCCTAAAAGATGCTGTACGTCAATGCAACTGGAAAATAAACCCAAATAAAAAAGGAGAGGGCGCCGGATCTTGCACGTGTGCACATCTGGGATGTCTCTTTACTTAGAAGAATCTGCTTGCACCGCAAAAAGCCTCCCAATCTTTAAAACTGGCCTCAACAATAAATTTTTGTCTAGATCCGCAGAATTTGCTATCGATGCCTGCCTGTGTCACGCTCAGGGTAGACGGAGCACTTTACAGGCAGGCGCAAAAGCAAAGCTTTCTCCTGAAATTTCTCCTTAAATACGGCCAAAGCGATGTGCCCAGAGCCAGGGAGGGATCCAGCCCAGATCGACGTGACTCAGGACAAAGCTGAACACCACATCCTACTGCTTAAGCTTTAAGGTGTAATTACAGGCACAAGGACCAAGCAGCTCTCATCGGAGAGCTCGAGGGGTGGGAAGACCCAATGGGGGCACAACGTTGTGCAGGTAAAGTTCTTTGCAAAGTCAAGGGAAAGAACTGAGTTGACTTCACACTGGGTCACTTCTGCTCCCAGACCCCAGCTTAGGTAACTCGAGGGCTGTTCCATTCACCTGCAAACGTTACAAGCACGTGTAAAACGTCTGATGTCCTTTATAGGTTTAAAGGGCAAGAATTAAGTCACTTAGGTCTCTCTATTCTCAAATAACCACCCCTGACATGCTGTAATTGGCTTAATTTTTTAATTCTTCTGAGTTGCCAGAATAACAGACATTTGAATTTTAGTTTTATCTTGATTCCAGGACTTTTAATTGACAGATATTAACCTGCTAAATTGACTAGACAGCACACACAGGGATCCAGCAGAACCTTGCAACCGGAACACATCATGGAAATGTACTTTCATTATCTCTTGCTACCTGTATAATAGAATATTAGGGAGAAACTACAGTTAGCCCTTGTTTTTCCTCACATAAAAAGTTGCTGTTGACTACTCCCTTTGTAAAGCACTGGGTAATCGTAAAGGCTGATACGTTCTTTTTAGTGAATGAAGTTGCTCTTTCACATTTAGCTTTTCCTTCCTTATTCTCTCTCTTAGAGAGAACTTGAGAGGGTGACAGAAGTATTCCTGACAGGCCAAATACTTGTGAGCCAAATTAGGTCTAAATCACAGAAATGGGGGGGGAGATAATTAAAAAAAATAGCGGCAATCTGATTCCACATAAATTAGAGAAAACAGGTTGGAGGTCCACATGAGAGACTCCATTTCAAGAGCACAACTCGGTGGCAAAGCCACCTCTAATGTTCCTCATCGCAGCAAGGCAGGGACACACCATCCATAGCATCTCCCATTTGACGCTGCAGCTGTGGCCCGTTATTGTAAAAGCTTCGGAAGCGGGGAAAAAAGAAACACGTTCCTTCCTTTCCGCCAGCCGAGAGGGCGATGAGACAGCCTCCACGGGCATGGGGTGCTTCTTCCCGAACTTGGCATTTTTGCTATTTCTCCGCGTTTGCAGACTGACCCCTTTCCAGGCGTGCCCAGCGGAGCGAGCTGGGCTGGCGCGGCAGTGTGCCTGCAGCGAGGGCACGGCAAAGGCAGCTCCGCTTCGGTGTCAAAAGCGATTCTGAGGCTCCTGACACCGTTACACAAACTCTAATCTGAACTCTGAGGAAAAAAAAAACCTGCAGACCTTGGGTAAGGTTACACTCTGTCTGCACAGAGCTTACTCATACTGGGAATCCAGCCTACAAACCTCCCACCACCTTCAGCTTTATTCAGTTCTTAATCAGAGTTTCACCTGGAAAAATGCGTCCCCTAGCACAAGAAGGGTAAGGGACTAGAAGGTCTCAATTAGAAGTTTTGTTAACTTTTCATTTTACTGCTTATGAAATTATACACACTGATGACACACACACACATATGTGTGCATACTCACAGCCCCTGCCTTATTAATATCAGGTTTACAATGAATTCTTTTTATTGAACAAAGCGCCATCGCAGCACTGTGTTAATAAAAAACCCTGCGTGTATTCAGAACACTAAATTAAAGGAATTTAAAAGGAAGATAATATCGATCAGATATTAAAATGCCAAAAAAGGAAACGCTCAGAATTTAGTAACGTACAAAAATACCAGGCACAAAGAGGTGGGGACGGGGAGAAGGATGGCAAAGGAATGCAAGTAAGTGCAGGGAGTCCAAGTCCAGTGAGAAAATTCGAGTTATTATAGCAGGTCTCAAATAATGGAGTCATCAGATCGGCTTGTTATGGGAATTCACAAATGTTTCAGACAGGAGCTATATCTGAGGATACCAGAGGCAGCAGCAACTGGGGACACACAAGAGGTGGAAACAGTGACATCACCAAAGTTGCACCGACTTCCATCAGGTGAAGATGTAACCATCGCTTTTAGAGCAAAAGTGCAATCTGACACGGAGAACGGCCTCACTTTGTGTGTAGAGCTGTATAAACCACACAGATATGTAGATCACAGGAGAGAATCACAGAAACATTTAGGTTGGAAAAGTCCTGTAAGGCCTTCTAGTCCAACTCCAAGCCGAGTGCTGCCAAGCCCACCAAACACAAGTTGCCTGAGATTTGTCCAACCTTTAAGTGCTTTATTCCATCCAAAGGGCTCCAGTGTGGGCTTTTAAGGGTGATTCTTCCAGGTACCTCCTTTTACTTTATAACTAATTCAATCTTCAGTGAGATTGGTCCCAGCAGATAACAAATTACTGATTTTTTTTTGTTTTTCTGTAGCTAACCTTTTTGCTTTTGTGCATTAAGCTGATTTTATTGAACTATTCAATCAATTTCAATTTCAACATGTCCTTCCAATTTGTCACATCATCTCCAGGGGCATCTCAGTTTGTTGTCCTAATATTATTATTATTGTTACGACTACTTAAAAAAAAAAAAAAAAAGGCAGGCCCTTGCCCCAAAGCAAAAAAGACATTTTCTTGATGGCATTTTGATCATACAGAATAATTGTCATAATATCTTTCTTTACAAAAATGACATTTAAATAGCACAGGGCAGAAACTACAGCACAGAGGTAACGTAAAATGGGTCTTAACACAGGGAAATGAAACAGTTATACTGGATGTTTGCTCTGATGCTGTGGAACTAGAGAAATAAGACCCTGCCCAGAGGGGTTCTAGACTAAAAACCCAGCCCCAGTGAAGTCCCTGGGAGGTCCAGTGGCTGGTATTTTTAATAAATCTAAGAACTCTTCACACTAGAGGAAAGTAAATGTGCTGCTTCTACTTAAGCCAAAGAAAAAAACCTCATCTTGATAAGTTCAGAGCTTTTAGTCTGACCTAAAAATTCAGAAGGGCTTTTGAAGGAAAAAATTATGAAGGGAAGAATAATTAAAGGAACCGTGGCAGATCTAATCTCTTTGCTCTTCTGTCAATCATCTGATACAGTGCCACAAAGAAATACATCAGCTAAATTCCAGAAAATGGGATTTAGTTAACCAAGAAATTGGTTAAGATTGTTAATGGGAAGTCAAACAAGGACTTGGTTAAAGATAGCAGTGCCTCGTACAGGAAGAAAGGTAAACTGACAATTAGGTAACAGAAACGAGATGTGATCTAATAGTACAAACCACAAGATAATGCAGCAAGGGACCAATAACAAAACTCTTCTGAAAGCTGGTTTACTGGACACGAGCAAGGAGGACTGGTGCCGGGTCCCAGCAGCTCCCTGCCGCTGAGCAAGGTGCAAACGCCATCGGCAGACGCACCGCATGCGGCATTAGCATTGCAGATACGGCAACATGAATTCCTTGTGCCAAGCACTGAGGGCTCATTGGGATGCTGGGCACAACCCAGGTCCCTCGTATTCGCTGCTGAGCAACTCAGATCCGACCAGGTGCTGGCAGTGAAGAGCCCATCACCGGAGAAGAGCCTAGAAGAGCTTGGCTTGTTTAGTCTAGCAAAATGAAGGCTGAGAGCAGATATGATTGCTGTCTATAAATACATCAGGAGGATAAACACTAGGAAGGCAAAGGAGAAATTTAAACTAAAGGACAATGTTGACACAGGAACAAATGGGTATGAACTGGCCATGAATACATTTAGGCTGGAAATTAGTAGGTTCTTCACCACTAAAGGACTGGCATGCTAGAGGAATCTAAGACCGGGTCTGGGGAACAAAACTGCTCAAAAGAAGAGATTAAATTAGGGATAAAATTCTTTTGGGTCTAGGTAGAAATTATGACAAATTGAGCTAAAGCAGAAGTCATCTCTCTCAACACTCTGTGTACAAACAACTTCTTAGGAAGAAAAAGAACAAAACCTCTTTGAGACCAAACACCACAATACATTTGTGTGAAAATGGTTTTAGACTTAACACCAATGGGTATCACTGAACCAACCCATTCCATTGGCACACGGAAAGGACTAGCTCTCCCAGACA